TATCTGTTGTACAAATTCAATAAACATTCAAAATACCGCATGGATAGGGAAACGAATGCTCGAAAGATGTACGTATGATAACACCAGCATTTACAATTCAATGAAAACTCTTTACATTTTCCAATTTTATCTTTCACTTCCGTTTCATTTGTGTTTCAAGCAATTTTATGTTTATGCCTTTACATTAAAGCCTTTGTACTCGAAGTCATTTATTCCTTTCTGCATTTAAATACTTTTCTTATGGTCGAAACCTCTAAACATTTATTAACTTTTACATCCACCCATTTAATCCTGCCATTTATCCAATTTCAAGTCTTTAAACTCTTCTCATGAGTATTCCCAATACCATATAGAAGTTATCCTTCGAACCATTCAGTATAGTAATCGAAGCGGATTGGATATCTTTGGAACAACTCTAATTCGAAATCCTAAATACAAATGTCAGTTTTACAATTAGACTTAATGCCAAGTCATTGTCCACGTCTGCGTCTGTTAAGTGGAATTGACAACAGCGATGAATAATAGGGACGAAAAACTTTATAGGGACGATTCTTTGAACAAAAGTGTTAGAGGGACTAAAACCATATTTTGGTATATTAACAGGGACCAAAAACATATTTAATCCTTAAAACAATATGTAAGTGTGTATCAAACCCAATACATGGCAGACATCCCTTCAGTCCCGAAATCAAAATCACATCCACTAGGACACATGAACACTGTGAAATAATATTGTAATATATTATATTTAATATATTACTCTTAAGTTTAAAAAACCCATCAACTAAAATTTTGAGACTCCATTTTTTTAGGCTCTGGGCCTGCTTACCCTGGTCCAAGACCGGCCATGAGTGTGAGAGCATGTTTTTGTTTATTGTTTAATGAATGTGTGTTTGTTGTATGTTTATCTACCTTGGCATTTTGTACGCTCATTATATTGAATGTTGTTTCTCATCCCTTTTGCTTTAATGTTGTACACCATGGACATCTTATAGATACTCAGGAGTAGAGTTATTATTGTAAGTGGAAGTTAGCTCCTAGAGTTGCTTTGCTTAGTTTTATAGTTGTTTAGAAGTCTTGCTCTGATCCTGTAACATCAGGTTGAGAATGTTTGTTGCTTATTATGTTTTGTTGGAGTTTGATTGTTTTATTAAGTTTATGTTGAAATTGTTAAGAGTTGAATATGATAACTCTTTATTTTGAAAACGATTTATTATGATTTGAATTTTGAGACTGAAGGTCTAAGTTGCAATGTTTTATTATTTGAAATAAGATCGATACCCCCACAATGATACCCTAAGTGAAGATGAGCATGCAATGATAGGTGTTGTATAACATTGATACTTTATGCTACATGTTTATTAAATGCTTGTACTGTTAAAAGATTGTTGTTGGTGACACCTTAAATTGTCGTGTAATACTTAATAAATAAGTTTCAGGGTTTAGGGTGTTACAAGTACCACCATATACACAACAGTAAAAGGGTGTTGTTGAAAGGAAGAATAGATTAATTATGAACATGGTGAGAAACATGTTAATAGGGAAGAACTTGTCGAAAGAGTTATGGAAATAAGTGGTATCCACAACTTCCTATTTGTTGAATAGGCGTCCAACAAAGAAGCTTGAGAAGATAACAAGGTAAGATACATGGTCCGGATTCAAACTAAATCTTAACCACTTTAGATTTTTCAATTCCGTAGTGTATCGACATTATTCTGGAGCAGCTTAGAAAGAAGATGTATGATAAGGGAGAGTTGGTGATACTTGTCGGGTATCACTCCACCGGTGTTTACAAGTTATATGATGCATCAAACAAGAGGATTATGATCAATTGTGGCGTTGTTATTGATGAAATGAAGGAGCAGTAGCCTGTAACCAGTTACATAAAAGTTGCAGTTGATCACAACATTGAAAATTTATATTCTGCAGAGTTTGAGAGTGCAAAACTAGCCCCTGTCAAAACCCAAATTAAATAGAATGAGAATATTAACAAGGCAGAGAGAGTTGCCTCTAAGACTCCAAGATTGTGAGATGCTCTGAGACAACAAAGCCAATGATGATCGTGATTTCATCCATTTTGCATTTATGGCTGAATCAAAATCCGTTAAGATGGCGGAGGGCTTGAGTGATCCAAAATAAATTTGTGTTATGAAGGAGGAGCTGAAATCGATTGATAAAAACAATAGTTGGGAGTTAGTTATCTACCGGAAGAAAAGAAGCTGATTGGTGTAAGATGGGTCTATAAGGTGAAGGAAAACCCCAAAGGTGAAATAATTGAGTATAAGGCTCGATTAGTTAGAAAGGGATCTTTGTAAAGAGAATGCATAAACTTTGAAGAGGTATTTGCATTGATGGCTAGAATTGAAACCATAAGGCTAGTTGTTAGTATTGCGGATAACAATAATTGGTCCATCTATCAAATGGATGCCAAATCTACATTTTTAAACAGACCGCTTGAAAATCTTGAAAATCTGGTTTTGTTGTGAAAAATCCAAGAGTCAAAGTTGTACAAGTTGAAGAAAGTGTTGTACGGTTTGAAATATGCTCCAAGAGCTTGAAACAAGGGGACAAATAGTTTCTTATAAGAGATTAGCTTCAAGAAGTGTGTATTCGAACATGGTGCATATGTGAAGACAAATACAAGTTAAGGGGTGATCATACTTTGTCTATACATAGACGGTTTGTTGATCATGGGAAGCGACAAAAAGTGTATTTCTAAGTTCAAGAGTGAACTTATGAAAAAGTTTTAAATGAACAACCATGGTCTCATGACATACTTCCTTGACATTGAGTTCCACGAGTCAGAGAAGGGTCTGCTCATGCACCAAAGAAGGTATGCGCTAGAGATATTTAATAAGTTTGAAATGAAACATTGTAATGGTGCCATTACTCTAGTTGAGCTAAGGTTACAATTGTCTAAGAATGAGGATGAGCCAACCTTATGGTGTCCAAAGAAGGAATCGATAGTAACACTATCATTTTGTGAGGCCGAGTATATTGCCTCTTCGTTGTGTGTGTGTCAAGTCGTGTGGTTGATGAATCTATTGAAGGAGTTGAGCAACGATAATGGTGACGATGTAATGCTCATGGTTGATAAAGTTTCCGCTATAAACCTTACTAAGAATCCAATTTACATGGGAGGAGCAAGCATATTGAGATGAAGTTTCACTACTTGAGAGAGTTTGTTAGTGAATCGGTTACAGACATGACAATAAGTCAAATAAACTAAAGAAAAAGTGATTTTCGTATTGGTGTAACCAATTATGCATTCATTATTAGTATTTTCCAATGTTTTAATGTAACCGGTTACAAGTTTTGTGTGATTGATTGCATGTGCGAGAATTTTTTTTCTAATTACTTAATAATATAACTTGTATCCCAATTCACTTATAAAAACATTTAAATACCTTAAAGATATTGTTATCAAATACTAATGAAAATATTCTCATCCTCAATTATATTTTTTCTCTAACTCTCCTCTTTCTATCTATCTGACTTTCCAAAGTCAAATCTTCTATTTTCACCAAATTCTAATAATATCTTATTTAGCTAATAACTTATCCATTTATTTGTGATTTGAGATTTAATTCATCATACTTAACCATCTTTCCACACAGAAATACTAATTTTAATGCGATTGTATTTTGTTAAAGCAAATGGTCATGAGTGTTTTCTATAAAGTAAAAACATGAAAATTGAAAAAATTAAGTTATAATACCTACTAATATTATGGAATATGTCGATATAATTTCTGGCTCCCTTGTACTTTCACTAATCAAACACCATAAAGACCTATGCACCATAGACATAGGCAAAGATTATTCAAAAAGGAATATAGTCATAGGCTAAGACTAACAAATAATAAATTAATAATACACTATAATAGAAGAGAATCCTTATTATTCTTCGTCAATTGTCAATTAATTCAACCCCACCTTCTACATTCAAAATTCAAAAAAGGATGGCTAGATAAAGAGAAATTGAATGGTTAACATAAACTTTAATGACGTATTACCATTATAATATCATCATCATTATATTAAAGGTACTAACATATACTATTATAAAACACGTCTTCATTTTGAGTCTTTCAAATCTTTTTTTGCCTTTGCCCTTTTCACTTCACCCTTCCATTCAATTCTTGCCATATAAATACAACCCCTTTACCTCAAACCACTCCTTTCCCACTTTCTTAAATATGATTAAATGTAAATACAATCGTTTCTTCTTTATCTAAGTTTTAAAATATATGATTAAAGTCACATCATTTTTTTTTTGGTCATATTCATTAGTCATTACACTTAAACTCCTTATTCAACTCATAATAAATATGAGAAAGTAAGATTATTCTATCTAAAGTAAAGAGGATAATGTTATTATTTGTATATACTATTACATAAATAACGTGTTTGTATCTCATTTGAAGCTTATTATTTTTCTTATATCATACTTATCTTAATAGCAAAATAACATATATAAAAACATAAACTATACATCATTGATTGACATATCTTCTAACATGATATATACACAAGTCTTATTCAAATCAATATGTACATGATTTCACCATGTCCTTTGAAGCATCATGTTGTAACCCCACACTTTTTGCTACATTCCAATTCCATTGACGTATACTTACCCCCTACAACACGGATGGCTTGTTTCTTACTTTTTCTTCTTCACTCTCACTCGTGTGGACCTTCCTATTACAAACATCATTGTATTGATCCATCACAACTCACACATTTATGTTTCATTTGTATAGTAAATATTAAGTGGAACATATAAAGTTAAAATAAAGACTTCTGCCAACTTGTGATAGATGCATGTAGACCAATATTTGTTTCATGTAGTGGAGAAATCTTAATTCGTATATCAGTATAATCATTGAAATAAGATTAGATGATTTAAAATTTAAGATATTATTATATAAATCATCTAATCTAAATTCAATGATCATTCGGTCAAAAGAATCTAATATATTTCTCCTTTTTTGTATTTTATTTAGCCGATTTGCTACAATCAGCCTCACCAAATCCAACTCTCCGATTCGCAAGATCGAATTCTATCCATAAATTTTGTTGATGAATGTTACCGATAATGTTATTACCCGCACCCAATCTTTCTGACCTACCAATTGCAAAACAATGGACACCACCTTCCACCTCAGCAAGAACCCTTTCTTTAGGAATCACTATTTGCACCCCTTTCTCAAACTCAAACACCATGTCTCCCACCAACCGTCCGATCTCAATCGCATCTCCATCAAAACAAATGTCAGCCACACCACCGTACACGTAGCCCTTCTTAATTTTGGGACCCACTTTCTTAACCAACTCCTCACGTATTGTATTATAAGCCTCATCCACTAAATAAGTAAACTCGGATCCGGAGTCAATCATGGTTTGACCCGACCCGCCAGCATCCGGTTTGAAAACCGAAGGTGGAATATTCAACTTCTTCCCACCAATGCTAATTCCTAGCAAAGGGAGTGTGTAGGCCAAGGGGTCCAAATTTGGCATACGTTGACTTTGAGAAAAAGTCAACAAGTTAACATAATGGAACCGCGACGAATCCGGGTTATTTCCGAGGAAAAATGAACTGGGTGCAGGTTGGGTTTGTTTTAAAGGGGTACAATAGGAAAATTTATTTATTTTAGCTTGAGAAGAGAAAGAAAGTCGACCAAGATTCATTCCCAAAATACCCTTAGCATCGTTAGATTGAGTAGCGCAACCGAGGATAATAGGAGGGGTAGTTTGGGAAGGAGAGAAACTGATTGTTTCTCTGACGAGATTACCCTCGGCTAAAGTTCCGTCAGCGTAGAAATAGGAATAATGGCATAGACGATTTGCATCACAATCTGTGGGAAGGGTAAAATCAGGAACACGAGGCTTACAAAGTGGGTGGTTACATGGGAGAACATAGAAAGACGAGGACATAGAAGGATCAAACGATGATGTTGTCGGAGGTTGTTTTTTTGTTGTTTTTTTGTCGTGACATTGAATCCAGGAAAGCTGGCTTCCCGTGTCAAGAACCATTTGTTGAAGCTGTGGTGGTGTTCCAACGGGGAGAGTTACGACAAGAACCATAGAATATTTGAAAGATGATTTGAGGTTTAAAGATGAAGATGATGAAAGGGTAGAAAGTTTTGTGTTTGTGGAAAGTGGAAGAGATGTTAAAGGGAAAGAGATGGAGAATGAGTCGTTTGCATGGTGATTATTGGGTTTTGATGAGAAACATGTGAAGAAAAAGAAGGATGAGAGAAGAACCATGCAGAGTGAAACATAGGAAAACAGAGCCATTGGAAAAAGAGGAAAAATGAAGAAAGATTGTGAATTTGTGAGTGAAGAAAGTGGGAAGGAGTGGTTTGAGGTAAAGGGTTGTATTTATATGGCAAAAATTGAATGGAAGGGTGAAGTGAAAAGGACAAAGGCAAAAAAGATTTGTGAGACTTTAATTCAACCGATTAAACTGTCCAATTCTATTGTATTTTTGTTATATTGATTATTATAGAAGAAAAAACTAATATTTATTGATATCAATTAAGAGATCAAATAATACTAAATGTGAAATTAGTGTAGTTTTTTTTTTTGATTGGAACATATTATAATGGGTAATTGATCATATACAGAAAAAAATTACCAAAGAAGGAAGTATAACTGATCATTGTCAAATTAATCCGAGCATGTTTGCTTCCAAAATTAAGTGAAATTCCAGAATTAACGGATTTTTTATTTTTTATTTTGGTGAAAACAAACCGAGTCATCACATGGCTTTTTTTGTTTTATAATTCTTATCTACGCACATATTTGATGTGACCGAGTATATAAACAAACAACAGTGATAATTAGGCATACTATTTGTTTAGATTTGAGGCAAGTTTTGAAGTTCTCATGTCAACAATGTATTGTCTATTATGAGCGAGTGTATAAACAATTACATTTTTGTTATTAGTAAAACATGAATGGTTAATCAGACTAAGAGTCTTTATATTTTATATAAATAATCTGATAAATAATGTCCGGATTTATTATTATCTATGAATATTATTTGCTTGAGACCTTTATGTGAGTTCTCACTAGCTTGTCTACTTTTAATATATAAAAAACTAATTACCACCTGATCTGACCTGATCAGAAGGTTTGGACCGTCACGGCTGCTCCGAGCTGAAGGCTTTTTGAACGAGGAGGGGGGGTACCTGCAAGGCACTCCGATGCTTAAGTCAGTGGGAGTACTAGCAGATAATAGAGTTGAGGTTAGAATTGATGATTACCTGACCCTCTGGAAACAGAGGGTATTTATAGCCCTCAGCGCTGGGCCAAGGTTCCTTCATTGGGCCGGGCGGATTTGGCCCAATGGAGGAACTGCCAGGTTCTACGTGGGTAGTGGGGATCAGCACGTGGTCCCCTTCCTGGAGGTGCTGCGTGAAGTGCGGGCGGACAGAGACGCGGTCTTTACGGAGTATCGTTGGGGCAATGGTGACTGAGTCTGCCCTAGCAAGGTAGCTCGAGTCCATGTCGAGCAGTGCAGCATGATGTCGAGCTCGACGCCAAGACCCCGAGCTGGACAGCGAATGTCGAGCTGAAAGCCAGGGCATAGAGCTGGACGGCAGTCTGTCGAGCGTGACTTCGTCGCGTGGGCTGGCATACTGAGATGTCGAGGTGGACATCAGGGTGTCGGGCATGGACGTTGTGGTCCTTAGTGAGTCCCATTGGACTGGGCCTTAGTAATGCTTTTGGGCCTGTCGGGCCCAGTCCAGAACAGGAGCCCCCCAAGTCGTGGTTCCTTTGCGAGGAGCCATGACTTGAAACCAAGTTGTTCAGTCGCTGAGGTCTCGTGCCCGGAATGGAGGCGCGGGCCCTCGAGGGGCCTCCTCGTGTCGTGCTCGGGAATGTCCTCGGTGATGGATGCGTGGAGGATCCGTATCGGGCACGTTGGTCGGGCACGCGAGGCATCTTTTGGGAATTGTGCCGCCACCCTAGGGGGGTAGGGCCATCATTGCGTTGGGTGCAGTGCGTCGAGGAGACGGTGTCCGTGGCTGAACGAGGTGACGTTTGGTATTCCACGTCATCCCTATAAATAGGGTCTTTGGGCCCCATAATACGCTTTCTGTTCTCCGTGCTCTCTTCGTTGCAACTCTCAACACTCTCTCCAACCGTGATTTCCCGTCTCCGATTCTTCATTTCTTAGCCAAATCCCAACTTTGATCCAAGTAAGTGATCCATTTTCTTTATTTTCTTGTTTTAGAATGCATGATTCTAGGAAATTGTAGATGTTTTAGGACCGTTAATGTGGGATTAGCCCGGTAAACTCGTGTTTTGCCCGACAGATTTATGTCTAAGATCGGCAAACGCATACTTGTGGCCGACATATTCTTAGTTTTAGGTGAAAAACTTCAGAGCTGCCCGGGGTCGTCATGATCCTGGGCGCCTGACTCATGCCGGTACCCGGTATGTTTATGGTCGTGGCCGTGGGCTTCATGATGCGGCTCGCCATGTTCATACCCCGGATTGACGTGCTCGAAGAGTGGCCGCGCAGTTGGTTTGTGGAAGAACACTGGATTCAGGAGAGTCGGGGAGGCATCCACTTGTGAAAATGGACTTGTGGTAGTGTATGGACGACATGATTATGTCGAGCATAAGGCTTCATGCTCAATCTGATTGGTTTCCCGTGCTCTGCAGGTAACCATGGCGGATGAGCCGAGCTCCTCAGGTCGTCGTGACAGCGAAGAACAAAGTGCCGATGAGTCGGCCAACCTTATAGACACTGTGACCGACCCATCGCTGGAATGGGTGGGCGCCGAGCCTCGGGGGACGGCGTCGATATACAGTCGGGATGACCGACATCCGTTCATCGCTATCGAAGGGGGGCAGGACCAGCCCGGCTTTCAACCGAATTTCGAGGTCATGCTGCCGTCGACCAACGCTAGAATTTGTTCGATGTACCCGGACTACAGCTTCGCGATGTACGAGATCGCGTTTAAGGACTTGGGTTTGCGGCTGCCTTTCACAGACTTTGAGACCGGGGTTTTTACGCATTTGGAGCTGGCCCCGTCCCAGCTACACCCTAACTCTCTCGCCTTCATCCGGGCGTTTGAGCTGACGTGCCGCTACTTAAGGATAGGGGCGACCATCCCTCTCTTCTTTAGGGTCTTCCATCTACAGCGTCAGTCCCGAGGAGGGAAGCACAGCTGGGTGTCCTTGAAGCAGTCGAGGAGACTGTTTAGGATGTACATGGACTCTGTGAGGGGGTTCAAGGATAAGTGGTATGTGGTACACCCTATCACCGACTCTGCTGTGGATTCCCTCTTCGAGGAGGAAGGGCCGGTCAGCGATGATGACGGGGAAGCAATGTTGACCGATGACGGGAGCCCCGTGCTAGGACGTCGGGCTAAGTTCCCGGTGTACTGGATGTCTCGACACTTCCAGCATGGAACCGGCTACTTCCACACTGCAGTCGGGGACATGTGCACGGAGGATCAACGGGCGTATGCGGCTCTCTGTAACTTTGTCGACGGTTTTCATCCCGCCCAGTGGGTTACACGGGAAGGGAATGACATCCTCGACAAGGACGGTTACCCGACATTCGAGGCTCGCCCGATTGATACCAAGGCGTTGGTGGAATGCTCGACCTATAGGGAGGCAGCCCGCCTGTTAGGTTGTTTGTTTGAAATTCTTTACTCGTCATTTATTTACGCGTTTTGCTCGATACTGACTTTTCTTTTTACTTCGTGCAGGTACGATGGCCAGCCGACATGAGAGGCTCCTGAAATTGTCAACCGGCCAGAGGCGAAACAAGAAGGTCGTGCCGGCCCCTCAGATGACGAGAATGGGTCCACCGACAAATCTGAACGCTTCTCAGCCTGTGAGGGTGGATTCGACGTCGAGTTCGGGGGCGGCGTCAGATCCAGATGTCGAGGTCATTGATGCCGACGCCGTTCTGACACATAGGAAGAGGACCCGCGTGGAAGGCGGTTCAACTGTCGGGGAAGATACCGGTCCCGTTCAATCCTTTGCCTTTCCCCCTTGCATCGAGGAGGAGGGTTTTTTCGAGCGGTTTCCTCCGACCGTGGTCGCGCATGAAGCCGAGGCCATAAAGAGGATGACCAAAGAGGAGAGGCGGTCGCGGCTGGTCGCCAGTGTGGACGGGTTGGTTAAAATGGCTGAAATGGCCTTGGTACTGTCTGAAGATGCAGGGGATGCTGCTCGTGTTGAAGAGCTCGAGCGGGAGAAGGCGGCCTTGACTGCGAGCTCAAGGAAGTTGAAGGTCACTCTGGAACGCTCCGAGGGGATGTTCCAAGAGCAGACCGTGATACTTGACGCCGAGAGGGAGGCGCTGACCTTGGAGAAAGAGAAGTCGGGGCGGTTGACCGAGGAAGGGGAGTTGCTCCGGACCGATAGGGATCGTTTGGCTGCTGAAGTCGAACGCCTGGGCAAGCAGGTCGAGGAACTGAATGCTGCTCAACAACCCGCCGAAGATGAGCCCGAGGACCTAATGGCTTTGAAGAGTCGGGCTGAGTTTATTGCTCATATCCGGAACCTCGAGGAGGACGCAGTCGGTGCCCTGGAAGACGGGTTCAATTCTGCCGTCGACCAGCTCTCGTTGCTAAATCCCGGCTTGGTCACCGAGGGTATCGGGCACACTCATCGGGTTGTCGGTGGCGCGATCATTCCCCCGCCCGACTCTCCCTGCGTCGACAGTGGTGATAATGCGGAAGTTTGATTTGTATTCTTTGGATAGCGGGCCTGCGTGCCCTTGATATTTGAATTTGTACTTTGGGCCTGCGTGCCCGTTTATTGCATGTATGAACATCGCCGGCCTTCTTGGTCGGTTTAATATTACTTTGTTGCCTTCGGGCGTTTATACCTTGTTTATTTTGGATTTTCTACCCTTGTATGAACTGACATGCTTGTATGAATTTAGCTCGTCCCGGGCCCGACGAGTGCCCGTAGGTGGCTTTGATTTGGCGAGCGACTATGCTCGACTCTGTTTGTGCGCAACCTCGACCCAATTTCGGTTGGCCGGGGTTGCTTGAGTGTTTCGCTCGAGGGGAGAGATTTTGTTTTGACCCTTGTAGATGTCCCGTTATTCTTGATGGAATGTCGGGTATTTCGGAGCGAGGTTGCTCAGTCGGGCGTGGAGCCCGTAGGGACGATTTGCCCTTGGCGTGAACTGCCCATCGCGAGCTGGGTGTTCTGCCTTATGGGTACGACGACGGTGGTGCTCGATATAGCTGTCCACGTCGGGCACTATAGATCGTCAACGTCTACCGCGCGATGCCGTGCCATTTTGGTCGTGCGTC